TATATATATATATATCTCATGATCCACTGATCGGATATTAACCAGATTAGTATGGGACCACCTCTGAGACACTACCTTTCCGATGCAAAAAGAATTATCGAAATCGGTTGACGTGGTCCAAAGTTATGCGGTAACATACATAAAAAAAAAGGAAAGGTAGTGTCTCAGAGGTGGTCCCATACTAATCTGGTTGAGATCCGATCAGTGGATCATGAGATATATATATATATTTTTTATATGGGAGTTGAAGTCGTTTTTTTTTTGCTAAAAATTACTTGTTTTCAATTAGAAATACCTCGTAGTCTCGTAAATAAAATCAAGCAAGTTTGCTAGGTTTCTGTGGAAACGAGGCAATTACAGGAAAATTACGATGGCAAGTTTTTGTATCTTAACTTGCGCCGAGTAATTTTGGTGTTGTTGAAATCAGCATACAAAGTTCTATGGACCCAAATTTTTGGAGGTTTTCATACCATAACGGTTGGTGTTTTAGATTTATACCCAATAAGTTCATTAGAGTTAAATTTCGGTTAGGATTAATAATCATTATGATTGTTTGTCAGTTGTAATATTATTGATTATTATAACTTCCCTTCGTAATCTGGTAATTATTAATTAGTTATAATTAGAAATAATGATTATTTGTATTATTTTTAAAAACCAAATGTAATTCAAGTCAAGCTGTTAATGATATAATTTTTAAATGTAACAAATATAATGATTAACAAGACTGATTACTGAAAATAGTAGAAACATTACCAAAACTTTACATTGAAAAAAAAAATGTAATTAAATTACGATAACGAAGATATATTTTTTAAATGTAACCAATATAATGATTAACAAGACTGATTGGAGTAAAAAGTAAAAAACACTAAGAAAAAACTTGATTTTTAAAAAACCAAATGTAATTAAATTACGATATTGAAGATCTAACTTTTAAATGTAACTAATATAATGATTAGCAAGACTGAATGGAGAAAATAGTAGAAAACATTACTAAAAATTTTAAATTAAAAAAAATCGAATGTAATTCAATTTAAGATATTGAACACGTAATCTTTAAATGGAACAAACATAATAATTTTAAAAGATTAATTTATATGCATTATATCAATTGCATCTTTACTATTTGTATATTTCTTCATATAGTCCCTTTGAATAAAGGATTTGTTTGAATTCCATTAATTTTGTTTAATATATACTGGCATTTCAATGAAACCATGGTTTATTTTGAATATTTGTCGATAAGATTTTTCTTTGGTGAGAATTTTATGTAAATATTCATTTATTTAATTTTTAATATCTATATGACCGTAAAAAATTAACTCATTGTTGTGTAGATCAGTGGAATCTTCTTTATATATTTAATTCAATTTGTATATAAAAACTCATTCCAGCACTACCAGACCACTTTTCCTACTACCTTTTCACAAAAGGGGATAAAATTGTTACTCGATTCTCTTTCCTTCTCAGATGCAACCTTACAAGGCAGTCGATTGACACAAATGTCAATATTTATCCAACCAGTATTATTGAATCATGCGTATCACGTACACCCCTATTCTGCAACACTTTCTTATTCGGATTTTGATAGGAATCGTAGAAATGGTATGCTGCAATCCGAATCGTATTTTCGAACTTTCGAAATTCGTAACAATGGCATGCCTGAAAACGAGCGAGTGAGAAATTGACATCTAGTTTGCGTAATTTTGTACGAAAACAATTTTGTTTCGGAACCGAGATAAAAATTAATCAAAAAGATGTAAGTCGATGTGGTTTTGGAGGAAATATTAGTGGTGTTCTCTGAACAGATAAATTTGCGTTTCGCATGTACATACATTTTTATCCACTGTTTTATATGAATGATCAAAAAAGAATGTCCCTTATTGAGAAACTTGGGTACAGTTTAGTTATTTGTACAATGGTTTTGGTTTGTTGTGTCCAAGAGCGTGACCCGAATCTAAAAACTTTAACATACACGTGTAAGGAAAGGATTAAACGCCTATCTAAAACAAATGTTTCAAATCTCCGAGCACTAGTTTATTAATAAATTCGGTTTGCACTATGCACTTTTTTGTAAATTTGGATGTGGATTCTGCGCAAAAATACTGTGGTTGGTGTAGCCGGAGTTATATGCACAATATATGTTGTATACCTTTCACATGCAGAAGCCCCTCTTCTCCGGCAACACAGAAAGGAGAATTCTACTTAGTAAGGGTTATAATCTCTAAACGCGGCCGAAGGCAACAGTTGGTGAACCTAACCAAATGCATATTTTCAATGACATGGAAGAAGCTGTTATTGCATTAACTGGATTGATTACCAGTTATTGATTCAGGTATAAGAGGAGTTATGGCTTGTGGTCCAACAATTCAAGCAGAAGCTCACATACATAGATGCGAACATGGTAACTACGCTAGACAGCTCCGCATAGTTTTGTGAATTCATTTCAATAACGCGCTCTTACTCCGCTGCAAATGCAATAGAATCCATTTTCTTCAAATAAGTAAAATCAAACAATTTTCCTATTAATAAGCACTTGATGAGTGTTTTTTAATTCCTTTCCACTTTGTTTTCCTTCATACAGCCGACCTCGAAAAACAACTGATAGCTGGCAATGCTGCACATGTTTAAGCACGGGTTCATGTCGATATTTCGTTTTTCGTAACGTAGCTACGGATGTTACGATTCGAGCCCTGATTTCGCAGCAATAAAGTAACTTTTAATTTTATTAATTTATTTCATCTAAATTGCAGGCTCACGATACAGACGAACTTCGGTTTGATGTGGTAGTTAATAATTATAACAATTGGTGTTTACGTGCGGAAACTCCAGAAGACCGCATTCATTGGGTCGAGGTATTGCAAATGTATAAGGAGGATACAGCAAGCACAGATACTACGTCCCTACGGCGTCATGGCAGCACCATGTCTTTGCAGTCAAATACAGTTTCGGTGGCCAGCGGCAACAGTCTAAAAAAAACACAAAGAAACTTAAAGGAAAAAGCAGGTGAAATAGAGACATTTAAAGATATACTTTTCGGACAGATCGAAACTCTCCAAAGGTAGTTTTAAACATCTTTGAAATGACGTAATTTTTCTCTTGAACTGTTTTCTGTCTTTAATTATAGATATTTTGATGCTTGTGCCGATATTAACAAGACAACAGGAAAATCCCTTGATCTAGGCGATGGCTTAAAACCAATCGATTTTAAGGTATTTTTATAAATATTCTCTACATTATTATATATTAAATTATAAATCAGGGAGAATCAATCACTTTTCGTGCCACAACTTCCGGTGTATTAACAACACTTCAACACTGCGTAGATATAATTGCTGAAAGTGATGATTTGTGGAAAAAGAAGTTGGAGAGGGAAATAGACAGGCGAAAACGAACTGAAGAACAAAATCGGTGTGTCATTATTTGTAAAATTAACGTAATTTTTCGTGTTACGAGTCTTTAAATCTTCATATTACAGAAAGTACAAGGAGGAGATCGAAAAAATTAAACGTATTTCATATCCAGGACCCGATTTTGAGGTAAGTTAAATTAGCTAATACTACATCGACAATTTATTCAAATACGTATTAAAATACATATTTTTTATTTGGCCATAATTTTTTTTTTTTATAAAAGTTATTAATGTTTTTGTTATTTTATGGCCTTATAACAATTATATTCAACAATTTTTAATGAGCTTGAGGCCGTTTTTAATGAAAAACTTATTGTGGAAAAGCAACAATAATGTGAAAAAATGGTAGAAGTGATAGCTATTTCGGAAATCACCACATTTCCTCATCAGACTTCTTTCAGTAGGCTTCGAACCGACGATCCCACTGACTCAGCCAGTTGCCTATGCACTGTGCTAAGTTCGGCTTGTAAATTATCGTTGCTTTTTTCCCACTTTTTCATTTGTTATGCCAACACAATCAAGCGCAGCTATTCCGCTGCAATTCACTTGATCATGTGTTGAATAAAAAAGTTATTAATTTTTTTTAAATATTACTGACATTTCAATGGTTTTAAAATCGCGTTTTGGGCTAATATTGTTGTACGTTCTATTAGTAATTGTTTGCATTTGTTTTTGGCTAATACTGTTGTACGTTCTATTAGCAATTATTTGCAGAAAAAAAAATTTGCCGAAATGCATCGAGACGAAAGTTATTCACGCTTTTCTCTTGACGCCCAATGTATTTTGTATGGAAAACGATGAAATGAGTATTGCAAGCGTGCTAGACTCGCTGTCAATCGATACTTGTTGAAAAACTCATACGAGGTAAATATCTACAGCAAACGTTTTCCTTACAAAATACATTGGGCGGCAAAAGAAAAACGTGAATAACTTTCGTCTCGATGCATTGTGGCAAAATTTTTTTTTCTGCAAATAATTGCTAATAGAACGTACAACAATATTAGCCCAAAACACGATTTTAAAGCCATTGAGATGTCAGTAATATTTAAACAAATTTTAATAACTTTTATAAAAAAAAATCATGGCAAAATAAAAATTAAAAATGTTAAGAAAACTTCATCTAAACAAATTCGAAAAATGTTAATAGCTATCATTTCCATAATAATTCTAATTTCGAATAAATTTCGAAACTTGTATTTTTCTTTTATCGTTGTGAAGTATAAACATAATTGCATAAAAAAAGTTCGGCCTTCGAAAAAATGGTGGCCCACTTCACAAATTTTTACTCTATAATAATATGAGAAGCCCCATAACAAACCGCAATAGTTCCATTTGGATAATTTCCTAGATAATTGAGAAAAAGAAACCACCGCAGAATGGCAATTTCGATTGCCTATTTCTAAATAATGTACCATTAGTGCTTGTGTGGAATTATAAAACGGCTTGATGCACAATTTACGCAGGTCAAGTGATTTTGGGGCATTTCACAGGGACGGGTAGACCATTTTTATTAGTTTAACCATTCATTTAACAAGTTGGAAAGTGTTAAAACTTGAAGTCAGATATCAGCTTAGTGCAAATCTAATAAAGTATCAATCCTAAGATGGTCGGCTCTACGTTGCCGGATTGACTCGGAGCATCAACTCCGACCAAGGACCAACCCCAGCAGAGACCTTTACTGCAGCCTGCTACTCATCTATCCTACAACACTCAGTGCCTGCGCCTGCACTAGGGATGCCAATCCCGGGATCTCGGGATCCCGGAATCCCGGTATTTTGGACGTCCCGGAAATTTTGAAATATCGAATTGATAGTAAGAATTTGTTTATGAATTTTGAAGTATGATTTTTGTAAAATGCCGTTTTGACTGCAATTAACAAAAAGCTTGAAACTACTTTTAAATTACAGTCTGAGCCTTTTTTGAAGAAGATTTCAATGAATTTACTCATAGCGTCGCTAATGTAAACGAAACAGAGAGTTTTAAGGAAAAGTTAGATAATTTTTTAGATCAATCTACTCAAAACTTCCTCAAATCGAAAAAAGAGAAACGTACTGGTAAAAGAAGTTCAAATATTTTGTAATGTAGGAGATAGGGGTCATTATCTTCAAATGGATTATGTCTACCTTTTGGCAGTTCAGCCTAAAAGTGTTGATGCCGAAATATGTTTTTCATCAGTAGGTTTTGTATGTAAAAACTGCAGGGCAAGCTTAGAAGACTCCGCTTTGAATGCTTCGCTGCTCTTATGAAAACATTTAAGTGCAATAATAACAACACCGGAAAAAAGGGGTGTGTGTTTTTAACCAGACCCACCTACCAACATGTATTTCGACCCGCTGAATCCGATTCTGATATCCGTTTGACTCGTACACCCTCAAAATTTCTCGTAAATTGCGGAAAAAATGGCAAAAAATTCTCCATTCGTCATTTCTTTATAGAGTAGAATAAACATGTTTAGAGAAATTGTTTTTGTATATTTTTGTTTTATGTTTTTTTTTTATTTATCGTTACTTTCAAAAGTACCTGGTATTTAAATTATTATTTGTGATGTATACGTTCCTCAATCACATGTTTTTTTAAATACAATTAAAAAAAGGTTTTACTTTAAAATTGGTCTGATTTAATAAATATCGCTAGCGTAGAGTGCAAAGTTGCTAAGTCCTAATTTAAAAATTGTACAGGAGAGGAAAAAACTTCGTATAGCCATTTTCTTCAAGTATTTCGCAAAACTTTGAATACAACATTTTGCCTGTTTAAAGCAAAGCAAAACTCCATACGAATCAGAGGGATTCGATCTTTATTAAAAGATTTCGAACTTTTTTGGCTTTATCGAATTTGCGGAGCTTTTTTTTGGCCTTAGCAAATTTTCCTTTCATTGAATAAAACAAGGACCTTTACCCTTTTCGAAACGATGCAATATTAATTTATCTAGCCTCCTGTATCAAAATATGATTTTTCATTAAAAGTGAAGTTAGCAACTTTTCACTCTAAGCTAGCGATATATGAGTTTTACAATCAGTTTATCGTAAATTTTAAATAGTTTTTTTGCATGGTATGTTTAAATGCTCTCAGATATTGAATTTTTACTCATATTCATAAAATTTATTACTCAATTTCCCGGGAGTACCTACAAAATATCCCGAAATCCCGGGATCCCAATTTTCCTGATATTTTGGCATCCCTAGCCTGCACCAGTGCCAACGCCAATGCTAGCAGCAACCCCAAAGCAGCCGCCCATGTACACACCGTCCCCGACGCAAACAAAGGTGATAACACCAGCGGCAGGACCATCACATCCACATCCAGCTCAGCAAGCAGTTCAGGCAGTGCCAACTCAATGAAACCATTCAGTTCAATTGCAACGGGCTTCAATGTAAGATCGCTGAGATACTCAGTTTTATGAGGCGCAACAATAGCTCAGTCGCGGTGGTCCAGGAAACAAAAATCGTTTCCGGCTTGCTACTGAGATTGATGTCGTCAACGTATAGTTACCTCCCGCCACTAGTTGTCCAGCAGGATACAGCTCGAACATAAGTGAGCATCTCAAAGGCGGTACCCGGGTAGTGTTAGGATATCTTAATGCGCCCACGAACTCTACTCGCTGAACGAATTGACGACTCAACGTCCTGCACTGTAAACGACGATGCCTTCACAAGGGTTGCGGGTGACCGCTTCAGCTCGCCAGACATCACTATAGCAAGCAGGGGTCTGATAAATTGCATTGGTGTAAACCAGTTGTTGTTGTTGTTGCAGCGGCACTACTAAGCCCCGCCTATTTCGGTTCATCCTTCAATCATTGTCGTCAAGCTCAACTAACTGTCGAGTCTGGACAGGTAGCTGTTGAGACGGCTCTTGGCAGTTGAAGCTCCGTCACTTCTACAGGTGGTGATTGGGCTCCGATCACGGCATTCATAGGCCGGGAGTTGTTTTTGTTGTAGCGGCTACTAAATCCCAGGTCGGTTCATCTATCAACGGTGTCGTCTGTTTCAGCTAAGGGGAGGTTCAAGAAGTGTGAAACTTCAACAGGATATGTCGATAGGGACAGGGGCGTTAGCTGGGTGGGGTTGTGGGGGGCAAGCGAAGAGGAGCCGTGAGTCATGTGGCCAATCTTCGCATGCCGGGCACTGGTTGGGCACATCCTCGTTTATTCTGCTCAGGTATGAGTTCAGTCTGTTGCAATAACCAGAGCGAAGTTGGGCTATTGTGGAGCGGATCTCTCGAGGCAGCCAAAGTTCTGTCCCGTCCACGGCAGGTTGTTGTGTGCCCAGAACGGCATTGACAGGTCGAGAGTCTACATAACTTGAGACCGAATCCCTGTAAATGTCGTTCAGGGCCTGTCTGTATGTCGTCGAGTCCAGTGGTTGGTCTAGGTTAGGTTAGGTTAGGTTGATGTGGCAGTCGGTTCAATTTACCAACTCACTTAGACCTTTTGAAGGTCCATTGTGGTACCACTGCAGAACACGGGAACCTCGGTGACTATTCTTCAGAGAACCAATTTGAGGCTCTTATAAAGCGTAGAATCGGTTTTATTCCTACGCGTGATAGTTCCGTAAGAGAGCTAAAGAAGGGCCTGCCTACAAAACCTTGCTCTCCTCTTGGCCAAACCTGGCCAGCTGCAGAAGAAGTGCTCTACGGTTTCTTCCTCTTCCTCATCTCTGCAACTTCTGCAATATTCGTGGGAGAAAATTCCTAGTCTTGAAGAGTGCCTGCCAAATAGCCAGTGACCGGTTACACAAGCCGTGACCTTCGCAATGTCCTCTCTTGAGAGGCACAGCAACTCTTTCGTCTTTTTCTTTTCTATTTGCGGCCAAAGCAGCCTGGTTGTTCTACATGTGCCCTCCTCTAGCCATGACCTGTTGGCCTCTTGGATCATGCTATTTCGAAGTTCCAATTTGCAGGTTGCCATGGGTATCCCAATAGTGCCCCTGTTTTCACATAGGGGTAGATTCGTACCTTTCCTGGCTAGCTCATCAGCCCTGCAGTTTCCTTCAATATCTCTGTGTCCCGGAACCCATATGAGGCTGACCTTGAACACGGTGCTAATATCGTTTAGAGCTGCGAGGCATTCCTGCGCAACCTTCGACCTCAGCATTACCATGTTCATTGATTTAATGGCCGCCTGGCTATCCG